GTTGTGATGTTTTTGGGGGGGGGAGGGGGGAGATGGGGGAATCATATGATATGTTATGATATGATATGATGTAACGTGTGTGTATGTATATTGATGGAGCAGATTGAAGGAATAAGGGGAGGCAGGGAAGCAGGGAACCCATGAGATAGATAGATGGGTATGTATATAGTGAGGTAGTGAGGTAGATAGAGAAGCATAAAGCATGAAACAACGAAAGGGGTAATTAATAACTGTACATACGTATTTATATAAAGTCTGTAAAAATAACGAGCAGCGAGAATTTGATTGCCAAATAGAAGAGTTCGTAGAACAGCAGACGCAGACGCAGACATGTGGATTTGAGTTAGGTAGGTAGGTAGGCAGCTCTGATTATATATATATAAGTTATATATACGAGTATATCTGTTTCTGTTTGGATGGATGGATGGTATTGAAAAAGAAGTTTGTGATTTTATGGTGTGATTATAATTATGGGATGGATAGATGGGATAGATAGATAGATAGATGGGAGGTGTAAGATTTTATGATTTCTTTTGGCTCATGGACTGGATGGTTTGTATGAATACTTGTATATATATAGTTATATGTATGAATGGAATATTGAATGTGAAAAAATTCTTGTAGTATGTTCTGTTTGTGGATGCACTAAAATCCAGTGCTAGTAATAACGTAGTAACAAAAGTCTTTACCATCTTGGGCCTTGGTAGACCTAGTCTATGTGAGTCCCTTGGTCCTTGGTAGTTAGTGATCGCTTTTTGCACTTTGTTTTTTATTGGTTGGTGTAGGTACCTAGTTAGTTACTCGAGTACTATAGTTAGTAGTTAGTTCGGGTTTTGAGTTTGAAGGGGGGGGACAAGGAGATTTAGATTTTTATTATGGGCGGATGGGAAAAGAAGCTTTATGATCGTGGAATATTAATACTGATATGATATTGGGATGCTCAATTAGATGTATGAGGTTCTGAATACTGATAATGATATATCTACATATATATATATATCTCGAATGGTGGTTGAGTTGTGTGCATGCGTCATTCGTGGGGGCATCACACTGCAGTTTCGTTGCCCCACTACTGCCACCCCCAAGAATCATGCATGGTTTTGATATACTGATACTGTACTCGTATCTGAAAGGACACATACACCGGTACCGTCTAAACCAGACAACTTGGAATATGCTTAGTCCTAATATAGATTAAGGTTATCGATTGATATACCTTAATCATATACTAGTATTGGATTTTATAAACTTGTCTGGAATCTATAATATTCGATTCCATTTTCAAATGAGCCAATAAATACCTAT